ATCTTGAAGCTTTATTTATTGATGTTTTTGCGCTTGATAATGGCATTACAGTATCATAACATCGTTATTCGATGGCATGAATAGACAATTTTAGTTTCACTTTGCATTGTAAGAAGATCTTTTATCTTTCTACAATGCAAGTCATTCAATAAAATAGTCGGGTTTTCATTATAATGTGGATACATATTTTTGTGTTAAATAATTTATCGTCGATGGTCTTAGGTTGGAAGGTTTAGTTGTTTGGTCGGGGTTTTGGGCGGCCCTATCAAGGGTGTTGGAGAGGGTGAGGGTGAGATGGGGGAGGGTTAGAAAGTTGACAGTAAGTTATCAAAGGTTCATGATAGATATAGGGATGTGTGCTTTTTCTTACCTCATTATAACAAAATTGGATTTATAGGACACTCCCAATTTTTTAAGCATTTTAATAGACCTCTTTATAGGACTTAGTTTATAGGACCAAAAAAATAAAACGTCCTATCTAAAGGCGTTGTAATAACTTTATATGACGTTTTTTGACGTCGTAATAAGTTTTTTAGGACACTTTTAATATAAAGCGTCCCATTAGCAACTTTATAGGTCACTATTTGAAAAACTGTCCTATAAAAATAAATGTCCTATAAAAAATTGAGTTTATAGGACACTTTCTCAAAAGTGTCCTATAAAGTTGTTAATGCGGCACTTTGTATTAAAAATATCCTAAAAACTTTTTAAGACGCCCAAAAGCGTCATATAAACTTAATACAACACCTTTAGATAAGACGCTTTATATTTTGATCCTATAAATTAAGTCCTATAAAGCAGTCTATTGGAACGCTTAGAGATTGGGGCGTCCTATAAACCCAATTTTGTTGTAATGTGTCATGTCTATGTTTTACTGTACTTACTATTTTATTTTTCCTTTTCTTTTTATGCATACTTTTTACTAGTCCTAATTTTTCTTGCCTTTTCGCCCACATTTATTCACAAGTCGGGGTCTTCATGGAAACAACTGATCTACTAAAAAAGGACATGTTTGCATACATCCACCTAAGACCCTATTTCACTTTCAAGTCAGATATAAAGGGTTCGATTGATTCTGTTTCTTATGCTAGATCATTTCACTCATCTCCTAAAAGTACCATCCTTGGAAAGTTTTGAACTCGTTTATAATCTTAAGATGGTAGATTAGTGACATGAAATTTTTGAACTCAATTATAAGCTTAAGATGGTTGATTCCCATATCATTGAAGCTGGCGTGTGTTCTAAGTAATTCATCTATGAAATTGCTGCACTTTAATACTTTAACAAGCTACCAACTCGTCGAGAATTAATCCGTTTGAAAAATATAAATGAAAAATCTCTTTGTCAGCAACTCTCTCAAGTCTATTTCTCATATCATTCAAGTTAACGTGCAGTCGGTGTCTTATCTCTAAGACCATGACATTTTAACATTTTCAAAGTGATCAACTCGTCAATAAGTTTTATAGGTTTTATAAAACTTGAAATGAAATAGTGGAACGTTGTTATTGCGAAAAAACATCAACTTTTCTTTGATTTAAAATCTCATATTTTCGTCTCACACTCAAGCTAATAAAATTACCTACTCATTACAAAAATAAATCGCAGAAAAATATAAATGTCTGAAAGTAAAGACATAAAAATAAATGATGGAAATTAAATACTGAAAGTAAATAAGGAAATGTAAATAACATAAATTAAATAACTTAGAATAAAAAGCGTAAGGTAAAGAACGAAATTTAAGGACATAATTTAAAGAACAAAATTTAAAGAGCATTAAAAGACTTAGAGATAATTCTTCAAATGTTCCTTTAGACCGAAATGGATAATCTTTCAAAAACTTCTTTTTAAATACTAACTCAATCTCTCTATTTATACTAAGCTAGATGTGGGGGCAAGAGAGTAATTTAACACTAAGCTTGTAGTCTAAGTACCCAAAAAGGTACAATTAGTCAAAAGTAGGGGTGTTCAAAAACTCGAACAACCCGATTAACCCGATCAACTCAACCCAACCCAACACGAAATAACCCAACCCGAAGCAATCCGAAGTTTAATCGAGTTGTAAAATTGTCAAATCGTAGGTATTGTGTTGATATTGGGTTATTATTATTTAAACCCAACCCAACCCGATGAACCCAATATCCTTTTATTTCTTGGATTTAATATGATTGTTGAATTTCTATTAATATATACATTAGACAATTACACTATCATGTATGCTTTTCATATACACATATTTTCAATCTATTCATATCTCTATATAACTCATTCATATATATGTTCAGTAACTGTGAACATATATATGTAAATTGAGAAAATTAACTGAATGTAATATACGTACAAAATATGAATAAGTTGTATCAAATGGTTGAAGATGAAAAAGAAATTATGAGTAAAGAAATAACATATTCAAGGTTAGAAAAATATTTTAATATACCAAAGTTACAACCCGACCAAATCGTACGGGTTGGGTTGCACTTTGGGTTGAGTTAAGATTTTTCCAAACCGCAAGTATTGGGTTGGGTTGTTCAAATGTCTTCAACCCGATCAACCCAACCCATAAGCATCCCAGTCAAAATCATAACATTTACTTTGACTAAGTAGATAAAGTACAAGCTACATAGATTAAATAAATTTTCAACCAAGTGACCTTCAAGGAAGCTTCCAAGTAAGTTCAAAAAAGTACAAAAATCGTCTTTTAACCATCCTTCCTTTGGCTCATTGTTTAAGCTTTGTTGTTCTCGATGTTATTCCAATGCTGCTAGCATTAGCTGTAGTTTACAAAACCTGCCTAAGAACATCCATTTAAGTGATCCAAAGAGTAAAAACTGGTAAACCATAACTCTTAACTCCATAAAATAAATAAATAGAAAATAAGTTAAGAAAAATACTTAAGATTGGGATATAAAAGGAAAAATTATCTAGTTATAAAGAAAAAATGAGTATTTAAACACTAAAATATTAGTGCGTATCAATCAGTCTAAAAAATAGCCAATCATGTACACACATCTTTGGATTTGTTACAAAGGAACGGGAAATTGATGAACGAATTTACACATATATGTATATGTGTGTGTGTATTTATTCACCGTTTGGTTTTTCATTAATGAGGCCCTACACCCTACGTACTTTGTTTACCTGTTAGGAGCCAGCTAGTTTGGAGGAATTGCGATGAGAATTGCATGAGTTGGAGGCGGACATCTTTGCAGAATGAGTAAAAGATATATAGTTCGACTTCGGCCACCACCCACGTGTCGTTGGACCAATATAGTGAGGGCATTCTAGAGAGCGACATCTTACGTTTTGTGCAGAATGAGAACCGTTGAGATGATCTGACACCACTCATTTGGCTACATTGATTAGCACAAATATATACATTTTTACGTCAAAGTACCTTGCGATTAATGTCAATTAGATACCTAAAAATGTCCATTTTTATTTAAGATGATATTTAACTATAGAGGCCATTAAAGTTGAGAAAAAATGTGTTGATTATGTCTTCTTTTTGGCCCATAACAGCAGCCCAAGTTTTCTGGCCCATAATAGCAGCCCAAGCCGTGTAACAAGAAGAGAAACAGCAAACAGCAGCAGCCCAAGGCTGCTACCCAAATCAGAAAGCGAGAGGGAGAGAACGAGATGGGAGATCGTGGGCGAGTACGAGGAAAATCGTGGGCAGAGATGGGAGGAAAAGAGCCGATAAAGAGGMTGTTAAAGGGGGCTGTCGTGAGGGAAGCCGRGAGACAAATCGAGAGGGAAATCGAGAGGGAAATCGGTCGATAGTGGCTCGAGACAGAAATCAACAGAAAGGGGGCTGTTCGATTGCAGCAGGTCATCGAAAGAGGCTGTCCAGAAAGGGGCTGTTCGATTTGGATTAAAAGCTGAGAGCAGCCGAACAGGTAATCGAGGGCAAAGGGGCTGTCATCGAGCAGTCATCGAGGAGCAGAACTGGTCGCGTTGAAGGAGAGAAGAAGRAGAGAAATCGACAGCAAAGGGGCTGTCCATTGATGGCTGTCAACTGAGACGATTTTTATAGGTATATCGCAAATTTTTTCGTTCAATTAACAGGTTAGTTTACATTTGTTTTAGACATGAGTAGCTAATCTTTTAATTTCTAGTAATGGGTTTATAATTGACTTGAAATTTGGATGAGTTGAGACTCAATTTTGTTTCACAATCGATTGAATGCATTTGTACAGTCTTTGAATTTCAGTCCTATACATTTTAAGTTGGAATTTGTGAGTTGGATCCCTTGCTTTTTCTGATTTGAATTCGTAATGCTAGAGGAATTTTTGAATACGTAATTGTTCTTAGATTTCTTCGAGTAGCAAGCGATACTCAATTGATGYGTGTGTGTTAGTTGCAAGTGTCGTAAGGTTGTACAATCTAACCCAAATAATYGGCGTCCGATTGTTGGTTAGGTTTGGTATTTGTTGGTCTTAATGCAATTARCAATTGAACTCTAAGTCCTTGACTAGACTAGATTAGCTAATTAGAGGTTAGTCGTAGAGCGTTCGAGACTGATCATGCTTTTATAACGAACAGAATATTGACGCGTGTCGATGTCCTAGCCAAACTGAATTCTTTCGAGAAAATATTTATTTGAATGAGTCGATGATAAGCAATCCAAAGAATTAGTTGATTGTTGCTTATTACTAGATTTCATTCAAATAAATATTTTCTCGAAAGAATTCAGTTTGGCTAGGACTCGACACCCGTCAAATTTTTGGCGCCGTTGCCGGGGACTCGACAAAGTTTAACTGTTTATGCCAAGATCGTTTCGTGCAGGTTCACCATTGCCAATTGATCCGAAAATTGAGAAAACCGCAAAGAAGCTAAGAAAGCAAGCTAAGCTTCGAAAGAAGCAAGGCGCATCTACTTCTTCATCGGTTCTCAATATTTAGAAAGATATTGAGTTGTCATCCGATTCTGAAGACCAAACGGAGGACGAAGAAGAGAAAGTTCACTCTGAGCAAGAAGAACCGGYAATCGAGACTGAAGAGGAAATGGCGAATCCCGAACGTACTTTAAGGGAATGGGCAGCACCCAACGTCCCCGAGCAACCTCTTTGCATCACTTATCCGCCGGAAGAGGTAAGTGTTGAACTTAAAATTGGTTTAATACACTTACTACATCGTTTTCATGGTTTAGCTAACGAAGACCCGTACAAGCATATGACCGAGTTCCACATGGTGGGCTTGGGGATGAAGCCGCAAGGCACGACGGTGGAGAATCTCAAGCTGAAGGCATTTCCATTCTCCCTAGTTGACGCAGCTAGGGAGTGGCTTTTCTACTTACCACCGGGATCCATCACCACTTGGGCGCAAATGGCGAGAGCATTCCTCGACAAGTATTTTCCTGCATCCAAAGCCGCCGGGCTTAGAAGAAAGATATGTGGGATCAAGCAGAAGGACATGGAGTCTTTATACGAGTATTGGGAGCGCTTCAAGCGCCTTTGTGTAAGTTGTCCTCAACATGGTATTTCTGATGAATTACTAATTCAATATTTTTATGAAGGTTTGCTCCCGATGGAAAGAAAGATGATGGATGCTGCGAGCGGAGGAGTTATAGTGAACAATACGCCAACACAAGCAAGGACCTTGATAGACATCATGGCGGAAAACTCCAAGCAATTTGGAGTACGGAGTGACATAGGTCGAGGCGCTAGTGAAGTACATGTTAAATCTTTAGAGACTAAAATAACTGATTTGACTAACCTTGTGAAACAACTTGCCATGGGTAATATGTCTCAAGTCAAAGCATGCGGATTTTGCTCATCAGTGGCACATCCCACCGATGCATGCCCGACTTTACATGAAGAAGAAGAGCAAGTGAATGCCATTGGGGGTGGCAATTTTCAAAACTCAAACAACCGGGCTCCCGACCCTTTCTCGAGCACATACAACCCCGGTTGGAGGCAACATCCAAATCTAAGCTACGCCCCGAGGCAAGGACAAGGACAAGGGCAGCAATTTCAGCAAAGAGCTTCATTCCAGCCGCCTCAGCAGTTTCAACCTCAACAATTCCAAGCACCGCCGGGCTTTCAGCAACAACATCAATCGAAGGCACCATTTCAGCCGAGTGCCCAACATCAACATCAAGTGTCACCTCAAGCTCCTAGTGGCTCAGGTACGTCATTAGAGGATTTAGTTAAGTCTATGGCTGCTAACATGGTGAAATTTCAACAGGAAACTCAAGCGAGCATTCAAGACCTTCAGGCCACCATTGGCCAATTAGCAAACAAGGGTAAGTTGCCATCTCAAACAGAGACGAATCCGAAGGCAAATGTGAGTGCTGTCACTTTGAGAAGCGGAAAGGAGCTTCAAGAGGTTGGAAAGAAGAAGAAGGAAAAGGTTCATGAGGAAGAAGAAGAGTTAGAGGTCAAGACATCCACTTCGGGTGCAAAGGATGTCAAAGAAGAGGAGTTAAAGAAGAAGACACCCGAAGTRATAGTTCAAGCACCGCCATTCCCGAGCCGATTCGAGAAGACAAAGCGGGAGAGTGAAGAGAAAGAGATTCTTGACACATTTCGGARAGTTCAGGTAAACATCCCTTTATTAGATGCAATTAATCAAGTTCCTAGATATGCTAARTTTTTGAAAGAGCTTTGTACTAATAAAAGGAAACTAAAGGGTAATGAAAAGATAAGCATGAGTCAAAATGTGTCCGCTGTTTTGCAAAGACAGTTACCACCCAAGTGTAAAGACTCGGGCATGTTTACCATACCATGTAAGGTAGGCAATGTCTCGGTAAATCAAGCCATGTTGGACTTAGGGGCATCAATTAATGTTATGCCATATGCCATCTACTCATCTTTGGATGTAGGGCCCCTTAAGCCAACCGGTGTGGTAATTCAATTAGCGAATAGGTCTATTGTCTACCCTAAAGAGGTATTAGAGGATGTGTTAGTTCAAGTGAATGAACTGGTCTTTCCGGCAGATTTTTATGTTATAGATATGGAGGAGAAAAATGCCTCCAAGACCGGTATGCTTGTGCTAGGTAGACCATTTCTGAAAACTTCAAAGACTAAGATAGACGTTCATAGTGGTAGTTTGACAATGGAATTCGATGGCGAAATAATTAAATTTAACATATATGATGCCATGCGATATCCGAGTGATGTTTCGTCTTTATGCTTTGTTGATATTATCGAGTCTTTATCTGATACTATGTTTGATCTATCTAATGAGGATGTGTTAAAAGTGATTCTAGATAGGGACTTAACAAATGAAAGTTTGAAGAAGCTTGCCCAAGAGTACAAGCTTGATGATGATTATGCAGAATTGGTGTCTTGGATGGAGAAAGGGCGAGTACAAAAGCCAAGGTATGAAGTCTCTAAARTAGATTTGCCTATATCTCACACTAGACTTTTGCCTTCTGTTGAACAGGCACCCGAGCTAGAATTGAAGACACTACCACACCATCTGAAGTACACCTATTTGGGAGATAAAGAGACCCTTCCGGTGATCATATCCGCCACACTGTCACCAAAGGAGGAAGGAGAGCTTGTAGATGTTTTRAAGGAGCACAAGAGGGCGATTGGATGGACCATCGCCGACATCAAGGGCCTCAGTCCCTCACTTTGCCAGCACAAGATACTATTAGAGGACGAGTACAAGCCATTCAGAGAGCTCAAAGGAGGTTGAACCCACCGATGATGGAAGTTGTCAAGAAGGAGATACTCAAGCTTTTGGACGCCAATATGATCTACCCAATCTCTGACAGCAAGTGGGTAA